GGCTCAGTGGTAGAGCACTTGCCTTGCATGCCTGAGGCCCTGGGTTCGATTCCTCAGCACCACATAAGCAAAAAGAAAAAAAAGCCAGAAGTGGTGCTGTGGCGCAAGTGGTAGAGCACTAGCCTTGAGCTGAAGAGCTGAGGGACAGCACCCAGGCCCAGAGTTCAGGCCCCATGACCGGACCCAAAAAAAAATTCTAAGATTTTCCAAATTTTATGTTAATTGCTTATTAATGAACCAATCCAAGAAGCTATATGATTTATGAGTCAAATTTCTCTAGTAACATTATAATATATTCCATGTCCTGAACAAAAAAAAGGTGGTAGTTCCTTAAGTGAAAACTCATAATATTTTCATTGTTGTGTGTCACCCATGGAACTCTGTATTGCTATTGAATTTATAAAATTATATTCCATTAAAATTAATAATAAGCTTGTGATGAAAGTATTGTGTTTTTTCTCTTTCTTCTCTTCAAATATCAACATAGCTCCTTGCCATAGGATCAGATGCATATTCTTCTTATATTCTGTTTATCTAGTTGGCAATGAAGTAAATGAGGAGTTCAAAGAACACAGAAGTTCACCATTTCTGATCTTTTCTTCACTCTATTATTCAAACATTTACAGGAATAATGACTTTACTAAGTTGACCTAGATATTTCCCTAATTATAACAATCAGAGAAAACATTATCAAATGACTCTAAGTAGATATTTGTTGTTACAATCTCTGGAAATAAGAGTTATACACTTATATCCTCTGTCAAAGATATGAACTGAAATATCCCTACTGAGACAAACAATAGGACCTGATATTTTTGTATCAGAAAAACAGCTAAATATATATATATATATATATATATATATATATATATATATATATATATATATTCTTGTCAGAGGAGAAAATACATGAATTTATTCTGTATAGTGGGAAAAAATAATAATAAGGAGAAAAATACATACAAAAGATATCAACTTCAGCAGAAATTAAATACTATACAATACAGATAATTTCTAGAATTTCAACGCTAATAAGAACTTTACAGGTAACTCCTTTAATTTTCATGTTTAAAGAAAAAAGCCAAACAAAGCATATTTTTAAAAGAAATGATAGCTCCCTATATCTCTACCACTTTTGCTCAAAAATCAAGCTGATTTTCTTCCATCTTTCTTATGGAATTCAAACTAATGTGAAATTCATCGGTAGGTACATAAAATTATGAGAGGGGTTCAGTGTTCAGCTACCAAAAAAAGCTAAAGCAATGGGTATATATGATTGCATTTTGAAGAGGGTATCCATGAGAAAATACTGAAAATCTATTTCACAATAGAATTGCAGCCTACATAGAAAAGTAATCTGAAATCTGCACAGTATCCTTGCTTTGGAAAAAGATTTCAGCTTAGCTCCCAGGGGACCCAGGGAGCTATAGCCAGATGTTAAACCCAAGTGAGCTGGAACAGAGGAACACTACACACAGAAATGTGAAGGTCCTTTAGAGTGGCTACCACCCAACAAGATTTCTCAGCCCTGAGTGGAAGTTAAGTGGGGTTTTTAAAGGTAGAAACTGTAAGTTTTACATGTTTAGTTAGTCCCAAGAAGATAGGTACTACGACCAGAAAAGACTTAGGCTACAAGGAGATGGGGACATATATCTCTTAATTAAACAAAAGTGAAAGCAAGAGAATTCACAACCTACGTTGGTTATAAAACAGGAGTTAGAGCTCAATACTTTGCTCCAAAGATGTCATTTTTCTTTGTCTCCAGACTTTTCCCTTATCTTGAACCTCTGAATGGCCCCCTTCACTATAGAACTGGGATGGGGGGAAGTTAGTATTTCACTCAAGTGACAGAGCCAACAGAATGTGTACATAGTTTATACATTTGAAATATGTTTGTATGGTTTACATTCACACATAGAGAGAGTTTAAGAAACTGACTTATGTAACTATTGACAAGTTCCAAGATCAGCTGAGTGAGGTTAAGTATTTCTCAGGAGCATCTTGAGAAGGAAACTATGTCTGAATATGGACTAGTCTAGAGGGGTCAGAAACTCTACATACTCCCATCTCTGAAAACTCATAGACATTCCACTGCACTGGCTCAACAGTTAGCCACCTTGCTTCAGGACACAGCTCTGAAACACACTGTATTGTACAAATTGTGACATGAGGGGGAATGCAGGATGCTACCCACAAAGAACCAGAAGATCAGGGAAGTGACCCTCTGAGACTAAATTTGTGACCAAATGCTAGGTCTAAAGGCAGAATCTATTCAGTTCCACCACCTTCCTTGCTGCACTGTAGTGGCCAACTATTACTAGGGCAGGAAAAGAACATGGTGCTTCCTCATCTATATAGGCATGCTGAGGTGGCCTTGAGCAACACTGTGGCCTGGCCATTGCCTTGCCCCTGGGTATGCACAGCCAAAGGAAGCCCTGAGAGCCATTTTTCCAAGCTCTGGAAATATTCTCATCTCTTCCATTCCCTGGTGGGCCTTATGCTAAAAGAGTAAGAAGGAGAGAAGCTATGGTTATTGTCCTATCGCTGGGAATACATGCCCAAAGAAGACTCGAGGATATTTGCATGTCATTGGCAATAGTCACCTTTCACTTACTTCACAGAAAACACTACAGTTGAAATAATCAGGAGGAAAAGGAAGATCCACCCATCACCTTATCACTGGGCACATATAGCTGAAGGGAGAGGTGTGAGTGAAGGTCAAGGTCCTGCATCTGGGAGAAACATCACTGTACCTGCTGCTTCCACATCTAGTGTACCCTATGTGCATCATTAGTTACCCCTATACCTTGTTTGATCACATGCTGTTGTCATGACCACAACACAGAGGAGTGCTGTGGCTCCTACCACCACCTTTGTCTATGAACAACCTCGTCCTAAACCACTACCTGGTCAGAAACAGATACCTGAATATGTTCACAATGGTAATCTTAGTTCAACAAATAATTAGGATGATTTCAACTACCAAGTTTAAAAGGACAGGTGTTCAGTTTTTTTTCTCACTCACTAATATCTTCTTTCCCCACACTACTCATTCTCCATATGAAGAAATTGAGAATGACTTCATGGGTTCATTCAAGATTATCACACTCATCCGCCTTATCTTACTGACTATGAGAGTGGAAGAATACTTCTAGTAAGAGATTAACATGGGCAGGCCCAATGCTACCAACCATCCAACTAAAAGTCATATCTCAGCATGGAAATCCAGAAGCTGCTGTTCCTGGGCTTTTCTATAAAATCCACTTTTCTCCTAGCACCCACTTAGGACTATGATTCTTTCTGTGATTATAACTCAGGACCTCCTCATCTGGCCTGGCCAAATTAATCAATCTTTATTTTCTTTTCCCCCAAACCCTGATCTCATTGCAAATTGTCATTAAGCTCAGAGGACCAGATTTCTGGCAAAAAAAAGACACATATTTCAGGATCCTCACCACTATTATAATTCAAACTAAGGCAAAAAAAAAAGTGGAAACACTAGAAGCAAGGCCCTTCATTTAAACCCTAATATCACCATTACCTGTGTGAGGTAGCAGCTCCCATGACCCCATCTGAGGATTTATGTGCTTATAAGGGTGCGGTGCACAGGCCAGTATGCACGACCTTGGGGAAGGAGAAAACGACTTCCAAGTCTGGGCAAAAGTTCAGGTGCCGGCCATAAGCCTCAGGTGAAGGCATGTACTAGTGCTCTTCATGTTCCTCCATGTTAATCCTGTAAGCATGCCTCATTATCCCCTTTTTGTGTTTCTAAGGGAGCCCACCTGAACCTTGCTTACTCTGCAATTTTTGATCACATGAAATTGTTTTACCTTTGTTTACAATGATTAACTCTTCCTGCTCACTGATTAGCTTGTGACGTTTCCAATAAACAAGAATCTTTACCCGCATGGTGTGGTCCACTTTCTGCCTACCAGACACATGTTCCCAGGTGCTGAGGAATCAGCAATAACTACCCATCCCTTAAAAGGCCAAGTATCATAAAACATCTCCATAATCCCAGTACTTGAGGATAATAGTGAGGGAACTGTAGTCCAGAGACAGCCCAGGCAAGAGCAGAAAACAAACTATCTGAAAAACAAACTAAAGCAAACAATGGTAGGAGGCTCAAGTAGTACAGAAATGCCCAAAAAGCACAAAAACCAAAGTTCAAACCCTAGTACCAAAACATATGGAAATTTGAACAGAACATGCAAGACATCTGGGACTTGACTGAAAGTACAAAGT